ATCTATTTTATTTTTCAAATCAGAGCAATCTTGGAATCGTGGCCATTTCATGTATGTGGAAATGGTAACACTTATTTCGACTATATTTATTAACAAAAAATCTTAACTTTTTCCAGTCATCTTAGTACCGACTCGTTTTGAATCTATAGAAGAAATTAGGCCATAAGCCTCGTACGAGTGGTGTATGGTAAACTTTTTGGTCCGGGACACTTTGTGCCCTTTATGGTCTCTAGGATCTACAGCCTTTCTACTTTCCTAGATTGGTAGTTTGCTCTTATTACCATTGGAGTCTCTCTTCCTCCTATTAATGGGCTATTACATCCTTGATTCCCCCTTCAAAGTTTTTATGCATTAATATGTTTATGTGGTTCAATGAGAATGTTTGTCATGCTATTTGATGTTGCATCTTAAAACATGAAGGAGAGTAACCAATGTCATACTATAAATGTTGCAACTTGTATATTGTGTGATTTCCCTAACATAGTAAATCTTCGTAGAATATGATAGTGTTGTCAGATCGATATACTTCCCAACTTGGTACGCTACAAGTAGCTTTCTATTTTTTTATTTTATTTTTGCCGAACTTTGATTTCTACCTCATCAAATTTGAGAAAATTAGCTCAAAAGAATTTAAAAGCATTTTGATGGCGTAGATATGTTTACTTGATGAGTGAATTATAGTGGATGTCAATGAATAATCGATTGTAGGCATATTATTATAGCTTTATTTGAAACAAAGTTGCGAGTTGCTTATGGGCGAAAAAATATTTAATACAACGGTGATACTACATCAATATTGTCATATAGTATCACCAACTAAATAAGGAAATAGAATACACGCAACTAATAACTACACAGTTTATATATGTCAATAAATATTCACTTTTCTTCTATGTATACCAGTAACTATTCAAGTGAGATTTATTTTGCTCATTTAATATTTTATTATTGATTAATGATATCATATAATAATACTAATTATTGTCTATGCTTGAAGGTATAAAGTAATAAAAAAATAGTCAAAAATAAATATATTTGTATTCACACCCAAAATTAAATCACAAATACAAGTAAAAATAAATAAATTTAAGAATCAGTTGTAATAGAGATGAGTAATGGTAGTGTTGGTGGGAAACGATAATAGTTACAGTGTGTGACAATGGTGATGGTGTTGGTAGGTTTTTGGTGACGATGGTGATAGTGGTAACCATAGGTGACGACGGTGGTGGTGGTTGACAGTGTTGGTGATGGGGCGATGACGACGGTGGTGGTGGATGACGATTGGTGTTTTTTGGATGACAGTGTGATTGGTGGTGGTGAATGACGGTGTTGGTAGGTGTGGTGGGGTGGATGATAGTGGGTGGCGACAATGATGGACGATGACAGATTGTGGTGATAGGTGTGGTGAGGGTGGGTGATGGTGGGCAACTATGGTGGTGTTGAGTGCTGACGGTGGGCGACGATGATAGTGAGATGTGATAATGATAATAAATATAAGGATAAATTACACTCACATTCCCTGACATTTGACTTTATTACATGGACACCCCCTCACTTTTTAATAATTACATTAAGACTCCTTAACATTTAAAACTTATAACAATCACTCCCCTTCTAACTAACAGACGTTAGAATGGTTAACAGTCAAAGCTGATTTAATCAATTTTAATTCCTAAAATACCAAAAATGCCCTCCAAATATATGTTTTTACTCCACAATTAACCCCATCTCTCATTTATCATTTCTCTATTTTATATTTCATATATAAACTAAAATTTTCTCAATTAAATGTTATATTTCACATTTACATTTAAACTAAAATTAAATGTTGAATTAACCATCCACCACCGCCTCCACACCACAGAACCACTACCATACTTCCCTAAAAATCACCACCACCTCATCTCTCTCTCTCTCTCTCTCACACACACACACAGAGCACCACCAGAGGTCAATGGAAGTTCATACCGTCTTCATCTCAACAACAACAACAAAAGCAAACCTAGATCTACGTATCGAATCCTTTCAATTTCTCAGATTTGGATAGGGGTGGCTATTGGAGGGTACTGCAGTGGTGGGGGAAGGTTTAGCAATTTTCACTGGTTTTCTCTCTTTATATATATACACAGAGAGAGAGAGAGACTAATCATCCAAAACCTTACACTGAAAGCCACCACCGACATTCACCGCTGCAACAGATCACCCCCACACACAGTTTTTTCAAGAATGAACATGTACAAAACCACCTATCACTGAGAGAGAGAGAGAAGATTTGAGACAAAGTTCGCAAACCCTAATGGGTGATTTTGGATGGTTGAGGTCGTGGTGTTGATGGGTTTCTCTATCTCTAATGGGATTTCATCTGATGGATATGTTGATGGTCAACTCCATTGTTGCGATTGGGTCTCCGACGATGGTGCTAGTGATGGGTACTAGTGACAACAGACAGGAAAGTGGGGTGTTGTGGTTACGTTGCTAGGTATTGAGGGTCTTGTTGTTGGGTATTAGGGGTCTGTTATATCGCCGAAGAGAGAAGGGGTTGGGTGGGGGTGTTGTGGTTACGTCGTTGGGTATTGGGGGTCTGTTATATCGTCGGAGAGAGACAAACTGAGAGAATCGCTGGGTATTGGGGTCTGTTATATCGTCAGAGAGAGAGAATCACTGATATTGGGGTTTGTTATATTGCCAGAGATTTCGCTCTCTGTCTGTGTGTATGTATGTATATATATATATATATACACACAAAGATGGTTTGAGGGGGGAAAGAGAAGACTAATGAACAGAGGGGCAAAATAGTCTTTTTAGTAAGGTAGTTAACTCCGTCTAACCATTGGAGTCTTAGTGTAATTGTTAAAAAATGAGGGAGTGTCCGTGCAATAAAGCCAAATATCAGGGGAGTGAGTGTAATTTATCCTAAATATAAAAATGAGATGACGATGGTGGTGGGTGGTGGCGATGATGACGGCGGACAACAATGATAGCAATTGATGGTGGGTAACGATGGTGGTAGGTGTGATGGTATGATAGCGGTGATGGTAAGGTGGCGGTAGCAGTGGTGGTGGTGGTAGAAAAGATGGTGGTAGTGAAGTAGTGGAGTGACAACAATAGGGATGACCACGACGGTGGTAGTGGTGGGGTGATGGTGATGGTTGTTGTGAAAGAAATAATTGGTGATGTGGTGGTGGAGATAGTGGTGGGGGGGGGGGGGGTAAAGGTAATGTTGATGATAGTGATGGGGCGATGGGTGTGGTGAGGTGGCAGCAGTGGTGGTGTTGGCGGCAACAACGATAATGGTGGTGATGGAAGCAGTGGTGGTAAGACGGTGGGTGTGGTGGTGGTGGTAGGATTGTCACAGTGATGGTGGTGGTTGTTGTGACAAAGATGGTAGTGGGATGGCGGCGATGATGGTAGTGGGATGGCGGCGATGATGATAGTGATGATGGGGGTGGGGGTGGTTGTGGTGATGAGGTGGCAACGATAATGATAGTGGTAATGGTGGTGGGGTGGTGGTAGTAGCGGTGGTGTTAAAACGGTTTTAAACACTATTTTTTTTTAAAAATACTTATAAGAAGTTATAAGCTCTAGAAGTAGTTTTAAAAAATTATTCCAAACACAGTCTTATGGACCTATTTTTAAAATAAAATTTAAAGCGTTTTTACTCGTGAAACATAAAAAATAGTTTATTTATTTTTTAAAATTTAAATTATATTATTCTTTATTATATAGATTGACATAGTATTAATGTTGCGTTGAATATTGAATCGGTTGTGGGCATATTATTATGGATTTAGATCCCCTCTATTACCTTTTCTTTTCAATTTTTCTCAATACAGTGCTAGATGAGTGATACGTGTAAGATTTTGAATTTCAATAGATAAGATGTTTCCTCATTCATTTTTGTTGTTGGTGGAGTGATAATAATTATTAAGGAATTTTTTCACAAGAAATAAATCTTATCCATTGAAATTCAAAATCTTATACGTGTCATTCATTTTGCACTGTATTGATGAAAATTAAAGAGAAGGGGTAATGGAAGGGATCTGAATCCATATTATTATAGCTTGATTCGTACGCCAACCATCCATAGACTTTTGGATTCTCATCCTGGGAAAAGATTAAACTTTTGGATATCCATCTAATTAATTTATGTATTTAGTGCTTTTTTAAAAAAAATTAAAAGAATATTGATGGTATTCAATCCGTTCTCACTACTATGCTCTTGCCACAGACCCTGGTTTACCATTATTTTTATTAAATAATTTTTTGCCTTCTTTATTTCTTGTTTAAAAATCAATATAGAAAAGATTTGTGTGGACATTGTAATAAATGATTACTTATGTTTATCTCGCCACGTTGTTAGGAATCAAACTTATTTAATAGTTGATAAATAGTATATAACAATACCTAGTTGTTAGGTAGTTGAAAGAGCAGTGTTATTTGTACATAATTTATTTATCTAATTTGATGACTTAATTACTCATTATTATTAGATTGACATTAACTCTCAACATTCTTTGAAATACGTCGTCAATTTAATTATTATGATCAATTAAATCAATAAATAATATTAATAATATTGTTAAATTAACAAAGATAGAGACAAATAAATAGAGAAAGTAAAATTTTATCAAGAAAAAAAAAAAGCACATGAGCGGAGAGGATTTTTTTTTTTTTGTTAGCAGTTCGATATATCCAAATTAATTAATGCATATTTTAACTAATATTTTCTCCGATAAAAAACAGATCATTGAACAGGTTTGAAGAGCAGTGGAAAATGGTTAAAATATAGGAAGGCAAGGGCAAAAATTATGGCTTGGGAGTAGCGGCTCTTGACCTACGTTGGGGTGCACCACTATTTAACACGGTGCACCACTATTTAACACGAGACAAGGCGCATAGTTCATCTATAAAAGCACAACTCAAAAAGTCAAATTGCGGTGGCTAAGAGAGCGAGAGAGAGAGAAGAAGAAGAAGAAGAAGAAGAATAAGAGAGGGAAGACATGTCGGGAGGTATAGCGCGTGGTCGTCTTGCTGAGGAGCGCAAAGCCTGGCGTAAGAATCACCCACATGTCTGTCTCTCCACTCCAGAATCTTTGCTTTTGATTATGTATCTATATATACAATCTCAGTCTATATACATGCACAACCATGTAAGTACTGTAGTGTATAATCTTTGGCTATTATGATTGCTTTTCATGTGATCTGTTGTTTCCTTTTTAGGGTTTCGTTGCGAAGCCGGAGACGGGTGTAGATGGGTCGGTTAATTTGATGGTGTGGCATTGCACCATCCCTGGTAAGACTGGGGTAGGTCATCTTTTTCCCGTTCAATTTTTTTTATGTCTCGTTTTTTCCCGTGTATTTTTCGTTAGTGTTTTGAATAGGGGTTTCATTACTATAACTCTGTTTTACCCATTTTCTTCATTATTTCCAAATTTGATGTGTTATTTTCATAAATATTGCTAGTGAATGGTATTGTTGTCACTAAATCTTTACATGGTTCTGTTAATCTTGATTTGTATTGTATGTTAATGTTCTTATGGAGGGTAATTGTTTATCCGTCGCCTTCATTCTTTTTGACTTTATGGTGGTTTCTTGAATTAAACAAAACAAATTTGGACAAATGTCGTTGTAAGTGCTGCTCCTAGCCCTACTCTGAGGCTAACGGTTTGTTAAATTGTTGGCTGCATTCTGGGTTTAGTTTTAGGTGAATTACTTGATTTGAATAATTACTGATTGGCTAATCTACTAGAATGCAGAGTGTTTATAGTCATTGGTTCTCTTTATGTTGTATTAGGAGCTTGTTTTTATTCAGTTGAATGATTGCATGTGATTTCTTATATGGGGCTTATATGGTACATCTTGTATCTTCTGATGACTTATTGTTTAAGTGAAACAGCAAATAGACAGAGAAATTGAACTTGTAATACAAGTGGATCATTTTAGATATATAATCAAAGATTGTCAAGGTACACCACTAAAAACAGAAATCGAAAAAATGGAGCAAATTTGAAAGATTATTACTATCAAAATGAGAACGAAGAGACAAGAAATTTAGAAGTGGAAACTAATACGATTGTAAGTAGGGATGGCTATGTGTAAAGGAAACTATCAAATCATGTTTTTCGGACTCGGGAGAATGAAAAAAGAAATAAAGAATGGGTCATGATAAAAGAAAACTTAGTCGTGATATTGAAAAAGTCCAACATAATTGACGAACGAAATGGGGCTGATAAAATATGGTAAAATACTAGAAATAAGTAGTGTTTTGAAAAGTATGAACATGTAGTGAAAGAATTGTAATTTTTTTTTTTGTTTACTCTTACCATTAGTTGAAAGAACTATAATTAGATATGCTAAATTTTGAGGTTACAAAAACATAAGGGGGACAGGAAAGTTACTGTAAGAAGCAGTTAGCGAAAATCATATGGAAGGAAAGTAGTTTTGAAAGATTATGGTGACCTTAATATAGCCATGCTAATTCGTACTGAAGTTTTCCATTTAAAAAAGTTATGCAGTGAAATAGAATTATTACTGTCTATCCCGAATTGAGATAATTTTTCTTAATTTTAATTCAAGGTTACTTCTATGTAGTTGCAATGGGAGGTGGCATATGTTTTTTACTTTTCTTCTGGAAAAGGTGCTGTGCAATGATGGATGGTTGCTATGTTGTTGAAATATGGTGGCTTTAGTGCAAAAGCACATATAACAAATAGAAACACAGTCAGGGCTTACAGTCTATATTGCACATAACTCCTTGGGAATTTTACTGTCCAGATAGGAACCACCCAGTTTTACAAGAATTATCTAGTGAAATTAATTAACTGATGCCTTCCATCATAGTTTAGAAAAGGCATTGTTTGCCCTGATGGCTAAGACTAAGAGTATAATAGTTATGGTGTGTTCTGATGGGGGGAATGGATTGCTTTGAGGATTTACATCACAGGTGATCTTAATCATTTTATATGAGCTTAAATCTACTTTAGGTGATTATGTTAATTTTTTGTTGCAACTAGCACCTGTGTTGCTAGAGGAGGAAGTTGGATTGTACATAGATGTCTTAGGATATGTGGTGGACGAATTGTGGTGGTGATAGTAGAGTTCACTGATAGACTTTTTTTGGTCGTGGTTGACCTGTGACAGATGACTGGTGATGTTATTTTTGAACCTGAAGCAAGAATGGTGTTAGTCATGGGAAGTTGGATTGTATGTTAGTGTCGGAAGTGGTGGTCCTTGATACGATGGTGGTGGTGACAGCAGCGTGTCAACATTAAGGGCAATTAATGATTGGAGGTGCGTTTTTGGCATTGGCAGCTGGGTTAGGTGGTGGTGTTGGCCACGGTGGAAGAAGTGTTACTGCTGTAGTGGGTGTATTGCGTTGTTGGTGAGCATTGATTTTGGGGAGGCAGTGAGACAGTGAGATGGTAGAGATGTTGGCTGTGGCATTTTTGGTGTGGTGGTGGCCACAGATTGTTCTTGTCCCATGTAAATGAGTGAGGAATCATGGTATAATACTTCCACTCCCGGGGGCTCATTTCCCTAGAATTTATTTACCATTGTGAATTTTTGTGCTGCCCAGCAATCATTGGATTTAATGGCAATATTCATATATTGCTGCTATCAAGCGGCTTAAAAAAAATATGATCTTTGATAGAGGACATACTGTGATAATTTTAGACAGATTTTTCCCCTGCTAGTTTTTGGGGGTGTGCTGATTTTTCCGCTATTGTCTGTCGTGCAAGAGGATGAATAAAGGGGAAGTAGAGTGTTCTAACTTCCAATTGATGCAGACTGATTGGGATGGTGGCTGCTATCCACTTACAATGCACTTCAGTGAGGACTACCCTAGCAAACCCCCAAAATGCAAGTTTCCACAAGGTTTCTTCCACCCTAACGTGTACCCATCTGGAACAGTGTGTTTGTCTATTCTCAATGAGGACAGTGTAAGTACTTTTGAATGCTCTTACATGGATTTGCCAAGCATGTTATTTGGTTTTAACTAGCACTCAGTCCTACTGATACCTATTATTTTGTTTGGTCCAGGGGTGGAGACCAGCAATTACCGTGAAGCAAATTCTAGTGGGCATTCAGGATTTGCTGGACCAGCCCAACCCTGCTGATCCAGCACAAACTGATGGGTACCAGCTCTACATGCAGGTCTTTTACTCTCCCAAAATATTCAATTCTGTGGATTTTTCGATATACTTTGATGTTCTTGAAGAGAATCTTCTCACTCTGAAGAATGTGATATGCATTTGCAGGAACCCGTTGAGTACAAAAGAAGGGTTCGGCAGCAGGCCAAGCAGTACCCACCTCTTGTCTAATGTTGTGCCTGCCTTGCTCTGTAATTAATACTAGACTGCTACATATGTTTTACCTGATTGTGAACAACTTTTATTGATAGTTATTGTACTTGATTGTCAGCAGTCTTATTGCAATGATTTTTGATCAGGTTATAATTTATTTTCCTCTATGGTGCTCTGTTAAGGATCATATTTTCTTTAAAATCATAGATATAATATTTTTGTATTATTATTTTAGTCAAATTTAATCCCTTTATGTAGTGCATTATCATCGATAGTCATTACATCAATCGTCCTCGTTCTTTGTTAATTTAATTACAGCATTTGAGATTAATGAATTAGATCATCATATGATTAGAATCAAATAACTTTGTTACCCTAATAAATGTATATTTTTATGTCTACTCAAAATCTAGAGTAGATTTGTCAATGGATCAAATTAAGAATGAATCTTAGTCCACGGGGATTTGAATTTGACTAAAAAATTCAATTGTGAATTTGATTTGTTTATCCAATCAATATTAAAATCTTCATTCATATTTGAATTCAATTACAATCAGACATCTACACCAATAATCTATTTTGATACGTATATAGTGTTCCATCGAAATTTCATCAAACACTAACTAGGAAAAAAAATAAAGAGCATTTGTCATTATCTAGATTACATTTTAGTCCATGTTCAATTAAATAAATTTGAATTGTAATCGTATCTAGATAAAATTCGTTTCATTGACCGGGTTAATCCCCAATGGAACAATGACCGAAAACGCGGTATTACTTTTAAAATTGAATTCGACCATTACAACACACAAGAAGAACCAACCAACATTATTTTTTGTACTTTAAACAAACAAGACATTAAACTGCTCAATATATAATTTATTAACAATAATTTTGTGCCCGAAAAGCACTCTATAATACTAAAAATTAAACATTGATCGTGTGATATTTATATTAGGGTTAATTGCACATGAGGTTTCCAATGTTTTAATTGTATTATTTTGGTCTCTAATATTTCAATTGTATTATTTGGTCCCTAAAATATTGAATATGTTTCTATATGATCCCTCAAGCAGACAACGTCTAGATTGTTAAAAAAATTTATCATAAATTTATCACATAATACCTAAATACGGACATAAAATAAATTTAATAGCTTTTAAACAAAAATTGATTAGCTCTCGACAAAAAATATGTAATGAGTAGTTTTTAATCAAAATTTGAATAACTTATGATTAAAATTATGTAATTTGTGTAGCTATTTAACTAAAATTTGAGTAAAAATTTAGTCAAGAGTTATTTAAATTATTTTTTTATCCATATATAAGTATTACATAATAAGTTTATGCTAAAAAAAATCGTTAGCAATCTAAACGTTGTTTGTTTGAGAAATCATATAAAAACATATTCAATACTTCAAGAGCAAAAAATGATGTAATTGAAATATCGGAGACCAAAATGAGATAAACCCCAACTTTGCAAACCTCCAAATACAATTAATCCTTAATATTATAAATAAAAAATTATTTTTACTTTCTATCACAAGTGTTAATTGAATTGTCTGACATTGGGGACTGCATAGAGAATATAATTTTTTGAGCAAAAAAATAAGTTGTGGATGAATTTATACCATTTGATCAAAACATATAAAACTTAAATCAATCTTTACCTTTATTGTGTTCATTAAAAAAATAAAAATTTAACTTCCTAACTCTAAAATTAAATAGATAAATAGCCTGACTCTTTGAGTGCATCTCAGACACATTATTTTTGTTGAATACATTAAAATCATGTTTTAAATCAACAACATGTATTCAGAGCTGCTAAAGAACACTTGACTCCCTAGGTAAAAATTTTAGATGGGTCCTAAATTATTTTTAGATGAATAATTTGGTTATTTTTAATTTTTTACTTTAAATATTTAAATTTATAAATTTTAGTAGGTATATTTAAGGTCGAAAATAACTTACAAAACAAACATAGTATGTTAATGATTATATTAACATCAAAATTATCTCAAAAATTATAATTCGAGAAAATTAAACTAAATAAATAAACCAAAGTTATTAAAAATTCAAATAGAAATGAGATATTAAAGTATGAGTAATAATATTTAGAGCTAAAAATCTGACCTAATTTGTTGACATAATGATGTGGCTGCATAGGAATCATCGAATCAACACCAAGTTTCAATATTTGATGGAGTGTACAGTGAATCCAAATATCATAGTGAATTAGGTCAATAAATTATTTTGATAAATTAAGTCCCAATAGCATTGCACTTAAAAGTATTTTAATTGTTTTTACAAAAAATACGGTACAACCTATTTTTTCTCTTTTTGAATTTATATATATATTTTTGATTTAAAAAAATATTATTTAAAATTTTCAACGTACTAATTTTTTAAAATTTAATCATATTATTTTAAGAGACATACGCTAATGAGACCATAAATGAGTGGGCCTTTAGGCGACCGTCTCACTTGCTTACGGATGGAGCCGGCCCTGTAGTACTTCGAGGAGATCGAAGCTCCACTTCTAATTTATTCAACGTTAAATTACAATAACTCATAAAATCAATATAATAAAACAAAAGTGTGTTTAAATTTTATTCTAATTATATTTTTTTTCTTAAAACCATCATCAATCACTCATCTCACCTATCATTCCTTTATCAAATTTAAACGTCAAATCGCATTACTTAATTCTATAATATGTTTAATTATTTATATATTTCTTTCCTAAAAATATCATATCACTCATTTTTATCATATATTTAATCATTTAATATTTTGACATTAGTACGTTAGTACTGATCGACTTTTTGAACGCTCGAATTTTATATTTTATCGTGCCTTCAGGCAATGCTAGTAAATAAATAAAACAAACCAATGCTACATTATGTAACACAAGACGGTCGATATTAAATCCAAAAACAAAACGGCTCATTGACTATAATGTCAAGAGTTTAGGATACATTATGATTGTTCCTGGTGCAACACATAACAGTAATGTTTCATTTGATCGGAAGGATAAAAAGTAGAAGGGATACAATTTCTATCTTTCAAGAATGGAAAGTAGGAATGATATTTTTCTTCTTTTGTGTTTAGTTGGACAGATGGAAAATAAAAGTGATTAATTTTTTTTTTGCTGGCTAAGATTAAGGGTGACAATCAAGTCGTGTTGTATCAGATTCGTGTTAAGCCATAAAATTATAAATTTTTTATATTTTTTATTCGCGTATAAGATCATTTTTAAGTTCGTGTCAAGTTATAATCAAGTTCGTATCATAAAATTCATGTCGAATTCGAATCGTGTTGAGTCAAAATTTTCACCCCTAATTAAAATTAAAAAAAATTTTAATTTAAAAAATAATTAAAAAAATCTTTCCTATTTCTCTTCGTTACTAAATATGATATTTTATTTATCCTTTTAACTATTTCTCCTTTTAACTTTTCATCTTTCTATTTTTTTATCGTACCAAACAGAGCATAGAGGTCATTAATGGAAACAAACTTGTAATTTGCTTATTTCCTAAGATGCACAAGTTTTGAGATCCACAATCAGAGCCGTCAGATCAGAATAAGAAGACCCACCTTCCTCCACTGCCGTCTTAGCCATTTTTGCCATTTCTTTTGCTCGCCGTCTGATTTGATGAGCTTCCTCTGAGTCATCCATCAAAGAAGTTACAGCCCTCTCTATCTTATCTTTCCCGACAACAGGACCCGTTATCTTAAACCCGGAGTTTCAAACCTCATACCCGACTCCGACTCCAATTTGCGGAAGTTCAACAAGCTTCTCGTTGTAGAAGTGTTCTGCATATAACGGCCATGTAATTAACGGCAAACCGGCGGTAGCAGCTTCAAGCACCGAGTTCCAACTACAGTGAGTCATGAACCCTCCGATCGCCGGGTGGTCCAAGATCATCACCTGTGGAGCCCACCCACGTATGATCATACCCTTGTTACTTTCCACCATTCTTTCTTCAAAACCAGTTGGCAACCAACTTTCTTCCTCTTTCTCTTGAGTTTTCTCTCTCTTTCTCACCACCCAAACAAATGGATGGTTTGACAATTCGAGAGCTAATGCAATCTCTGTGAGTTGGGTGTCAGTAAATCTGATCATACTACCGAAACAAACATAGAGGACTGAGTTTGGTCTTTGGGTGTCAAGCCAACTCAAACAGCAGTGTTTTTCTGTATTACTGGAATTTTTTGAATTGATATCTTTGTCTTTGAAATATTGAAAGAGAGGACCTAAGTGCCAAAATTTCCTTCATTTTACCTTCTTGTAGTGCTCGGCATAAGCAGGCCCGAGCTTGGAAAAAGTGTTATGAATAACTCCATAGCTTCGAAGCTCAGACTCTTTGACTATCTTTATCAGCTCTCAATATCTTGTTTTGGCCTTAACATGGCCTTGCAATTGAGACCTTTTCATCTCAATCTTGTCAGGCAGACCAGGAATCAAAAAACTCTCAGAATCCGACTCAACCTTCTCATGAGGAGCGTAAAGCATCAGACTATGAACGACACATTGATAAAAGATGCCCGATGGATAAAACATGAGCCTCGGTATTTTAAGTTCCTCGGCTATGTCGACGGTCCAAGGAAAGAACAAGTCGGAGAAGATGCAGTTAGGTTTAAGCTCTTGAATTAATTTTTCCATTGGTTTCTGGAGAAGTGCGATGGCTTGGAAGACTTTGATAGACGTATCTGTTGACGTTACAGCGCTGAAGTTTTCGTTTCCTTCAGGCAAGCCAACTTCTGTTGATGGGAATTTGAGGGTGCGAACAGAGATTTGGTGGCCGGATTTGATATCCTGATCGACGAAGGGTTGGAAGAGTGAGGCGTTGCATGGGGTGGTGATGATGGTAGCGATGACACCCCGGGCGGCGAAAAGCCTGGCGATGTCTACCAAGGGAATCATGTGGCTCGGAGCAAAGTAAGGAAGGAAGAGGACATGGAGATTTCGACCTTCCAAATCCATCGCCATGGCTCACTGATCACAGAACTGAATGTGTTTGATAATGTAAAGGCTCCTGAGATTGAAACCACCACTAGTCTCAATAATTAGTAGTAAAGAAACTACGTAACAAAAAAATGGCGATGGATTGGTGACCTTTACCTTCCCAATTTTATGACAATAAATCTTAATGCTCCTGTGTGCCGGCAGGAACGATGAAAAATATGAAGTATTACATTTTTTTT